CGCCCCCCCCCCAACCCAGAATTTTATTGTAGATTCGGGGTCCTCTCGCCGAGCACAGGAGGACCCCACCAAAAAAAAAAAAAAAAAAAAATTCTGGGCTGTCTTTTTGCCCGCCCGGTTTGCCCGGGCGGCGTCCGTAATCAGAGAAAAAGAGGAAAAGGGCTAAAAGGCTTGGGAGTTCATATGCTCTGATCAATTCACAGGCTCACATTTTGGAAATATTGGTGTCCAACTGCCCACATAATTGATCTGTTTTTTTTTTTTTTTTGTTTCATATTGATCATTTTTTGTGGGATGTGATTTGAAAATTTGGTTTTCGTATATGCAGCATTGAACGAGGCATTGAGAGAACGAAGTGTCCGGATGGAGAATGCAATCTCGCTGTTGTTCACAGGCAACAATAGCGATGCTGCTGTAGGTTGAAATGAGGACGGGGAAAAGACTACGCAAGTCCATGTGCTCTGTTCGCTTCACAGGTTGATATTGTGAAAAACTGGTTACCGCATCCTGATCATTAACCACTCGTTGCCACGGATGTGTGATTTGGAATACAATGCAGCGTTCAACGAGGCACTGAGAGACGAAGTGCAGCGGCTGAAGATGGCAACAGCCCAAGGAGCAGCAACTGTTGCGGGTGTAGGCTCGCAAGGGTCACAAGGGCTGTCAAACTCGACTGATCCTGCCTCGATCGCTCTTGGCGCCCACTTGTCGGTGGCACACCCGCATCTCCATCTCTCTTCCCATGCTATTCAGCATCAGCTGCAGCAACATATCCACCAGCAGCAGCAACAACAGCAGCACCAACAACAGCACCAACAACATGCGCCACATCATCATCATGCGGCCCCACAAGAGCATCTTGCAGCACCGGAGCAGGGACCAATGGTAATGCAAAACAGCTCATCGCATTTGTCATCCAACCACCATCATCACCACCACCAGCAGCAGCCAGCAACATCACTGCCGACAGTGCAGTCGATCAAGAAGGAGCAGGCGGAATTTCTCGCTGTTCATGCTGCCAGCTTTGGTACGCTCGCAGCGCTCTCTGGAAGCTCGTTCATGAAACCTGACGACACGGCCGCGGTCCCGGTCCCTCAGGGCTCAGGTTCATATGGGTAAGACTGTGATGGGCTGCAACTGCCAGCAACTAAACCAAGGATAGAAAGGATTCGGTGCTTGGTTCGTTGGACAGGTCTGCATGCCGTGAGAGCGTGCTCGTCTCTTTTGCCACAAGTGCCGCAGCTGCAGTGTAGATTGCGGACGGGGAGGGATTGTTGCTGAGGCTTCAGCAATGCACAGCCAGGTTGTAGCCCAAGGTGAGTGTGTTTCTCTCTTTTGCTTGCCTCAACTGCTGCAGAATAGGTAAGGGGTGGCTAAAGATTGGTAATGAGGCTTGAGCCATGTGCAGTCAGGCAGGCTATACGTATATATAGTCCAAGGTGAGTGGTTGTGGTTGATGTTGTTTCGATTTGCAGCAATTTTCATGGCCAAGGATGGCAGGTATCTACAGGTAGGGCTCTAAGCGAAGGTAAGAGCTAGTGGAGGAAGGAAGCTTAGAGGACCTTCACATCATAAGGGGAAGAGGGGGCCGGGGGGCGCGGGCGGGCGGGCGGGCTGGGAGAGTCTTCTAGATAGACATCTTGGTAAAAAATTCAAGTTTTGGGCACCGTTGGTTGGTGTCCAATTCGTTCATCGCTTGACCTTATTTGCAATCAATCAATTGATGTAGAGGAATTGTCATTTAGTGGATCGAGGGTGTTGTAAGTATATGCCCAGCTTCGATCAGGGGGTATATATGTAATTCCCCTGTTTCGGCATATAGAAGGTAGATGTGTATTGTTAAACAGCACATGCAGCCTGTGAAAATCGCATTCGCTCACTTGGTTGGCCATGGTTGCCTTGGAGAAAGGCGTATGCTCTTTCCCGAAGACAATATCGATGCCAGTTTTTGAGGAAGTAACAACCTATATCCAATGTTGGTTGGTCCCTTTTGCTCCTGGGCAAAGGGCCTTGTACCCGTTTCCACCAGGCGAGAGCAATTGGCTGGTATCAAAAACCATCAATAACATATATGGACTGTTTCACAAAAGGAAGATTTTGCTGAAATGTTATGGTGGTGGTATGTTGAGTCCACCAAGGCTTTACCCCGGTTTTCGACGTTGCAGAGGTTCTCTCTTTCCCTCCCTCTCTCTATATATATATATTTCGTTTCTTCAGTTTTTTGCAGTAAGGCGATCGTCGTACATCCTCAGTGGCTGTTGATTCAATGCGGGCAGAAGGTCGTCGGAAACTCGCTGCTCCTACAATTTCTCATGCCCTGGGTCAGAAACATACCTACCTGCGCTCTGTGCCTCGCTTCTGTGCCCTTACTGTCCCGCCAGCTCGTACCCTGACACGCACTGTTGTGCCATACGGTGCACTTCTATTCTCCCGCGGCCCATGTAGTCCCCTCTCTTCCTCTGTTTCAGGCTGTTTGTACATGCCCTTCTCTGTCTGGCTTTTGGTGCGGTGCCCTACGACGTGGATTGTACATAGATCCATTCCGGGTTTGTTTGCCTCCGTTTACCCCTATAACAGTTCTCTTTATTCCGTCCCAACCCCCTCACTAAGGCATATGCCCTATTGCTGCATCTCCTGCTCTTCCCCCCC